CCGAGATAATATTCATATATGGACTCAATTTCAGACTTATTACCGGCCTACTTATTTTAGCTGGTTCAGTAGGTTCAGTGTGTGTCTAGCCAAGGCGGATAAAGAATGGTGATCGCATTTCGATTTTGGCTGCCATCTTGAAGCGTTGTGACGTCAGGAGGGTACGGGTTTTGCCGTGCAATCCGAGGTTGAGTCGGCCCCCCCGGCCTCGGCCAGCCCATGTACCCGATGTACCCGATACCGTGTGACGTCCAGAGAGTACGAAATGCGACCACCATTCTTTATCCGCCTTGGTGTCTAGCCGACGACGAACGGAGCCGAGTCGGGACTGTCGGGAGTGGGGAGCGCTGAGCGCGAGTCTCTGCGTATGCGTCATCGCTAGTCGCCGCACACTAGTCTCCGGAGAACTGGACAAAACAGCCTCGAAAAGTGACTTCATCGGCGATCCAGTACTTTGCGACTCTATTGTACTCTATGAGTGTACCTTGCTCACTTCAGTAAGTCTGTGAGTAACGGATAACGGACTCTTCAGCGTCGAACAGTTGTGTTGTGAACGATTGAACACTTTAGACACCAAAAAATCCCCTTCTGTATCTTCTCACTAGTCACCAGGCTCTATTACAATTTTTCGGAAGGCTGGAAGTGCATGAATTCATGTTTTATCATTATGTCCTCACCACCGCAAGTTAAAGAAGTCAAGGTTTGATTCAATTCTTATGTACTAGGGCATGTAATATCCATGGCCAGAAGAAGGCGAAGCTGAGTAGTATGGGCTTATTGTCGTGGATAGCCGTAACATTTGCCTCTGTTTGTATCAGTTAAATAATGGATGTTTAATCGAGGACGAGGTGTCTTAGTGCAGGTTTTGAAAAATTTGTATTATTGATGATTTCAACTAAAACTAGTCTCGCGTATTCTCTAACGAGTCCACTACGTAAATCCAACTTTTAAGTATTACGAAGCAAGTTCAAACTTTCTCTCCCCCATAAGGCACCGTGTAATTTTGAAACTGTTAACTTGTATTCTAGAAAGAGGCACAACTGCATTTTTGCGCCCTGGTCTCCAAGGCCCTTAGAGATTCATGTTTTGTGATCAGATTCGAAAGATACAATTTGAAATTGCCATGTGACAGTTGATACTACATAAGTAGTTCACACAAGGTAGGTTCGACAAGCTGCTGATAAAAGAGCATGCAGTATCCTTTGATTTGCATTAAAAATCCTGTAAGAATCCACCGCTGGTTTGAATTAAATTGAAGTGAATTTGCTCCTTCTAAGTAGCACTTCTCCATCCAACAGTATTGGACCATCAAAGTAACAAGGGTTTGTGTGAAAGGGCACTTTTTAGACCCAAAGTTTATGAAAATTATTTAGGTGTTAATAAATGTCAGCAGTACATATGAGCTGTTTGTTTTTGACATGTGTTGAATCCAAATATCGTGATTTGCATCGAGAAATGTGTGTTGAAAGCACATGCGCAGTGGCTATCGTTCTTATTTTGGCATCGAAATCAAAATCTGCTAAAGTTCTTGACATAATTGATGCTGTATACACCATGCCAGTTCAACCATGCCAAAACAAAAACGAAAATTTTCTACCGAGCTCTTTGTAGTGGTGTAGAAACTTCCCGATCAAGGATACCCGGAACATTTCCCTGTTTTCAGTAGGGATGTCGATACTCGGGGAAGCACTGATACCGGTATCGAGCATCAAGCTGAAGTATCGATACTATTTCTGAATTATGTTGCAATGCGGAGTGTGCGTATGTCTGTCGGCTGTTAAATTCCGCCAGATTTACGCCTCTGTTGAAACCGCCCTTATTTGCATGTTAAGTCAACTATTATGAGCCCTTTACTACAGTTATCGAACCGAGCTTTTAAAATTTTTAAGGAAAGTAATCATCTTGAGAAACTTGATAACTCCGCTGTTTGTCACAGTGCATAGTGAAGATGAAATAGAAGAGAGAGAAGTTTTTAAAAAAGAAAAAAGGGCCTTCTTCATGGCCAAATCAGATTAAGTATCGATATCGTCGATATTGGGGTCTGGGGATCGAAACGTGTCACCACATGGTGTCCATATTGTTGTGTATCGATCAAAAGTATCGATACTTAGGAAGTATTTGTTAAGTATCGACATCCCTAGTTTTCGGTAGAATAGCAAAAGACTCTTTGTTTTTCTCACAAAATGGAAGCATTTTATGAAAGAAGGACCAAGAGAAGGTCACAGCTTCAAAAATTTTTGAATGAAAATGGTTATTTTAAGTGGGAAGGCTTAGAACATTCTGCATCCCCAGCTCCTCCAATATTGAATTGATTTTTGTGGTTTTAGGGCTTGAGGAAATCATCTCAGTAAGTTTTTGACTGTGGAAATCTGGTTGTGAAAATATAATGTGGATACTGGTTGCTCTGTATTTTGAAGAAGGATTTGGCTAATTGTGACAAGGGTCTTGAACTGCTTCAAGGCTGCCAAACTTGAACTCAGCAGCATTTTTTGCCTTCTTACTTTCTAGACTGCCAAGAGATATTCTTTGACAGAACCTTGTTTACTTAATCCAACTCAAACTTTTAAAGAGCCGTATGCCAAAACGACATTTTTCGCCCCCCCCCCCCCCCCCATTCAAACTTTGTCTATCAGTTACTAATAATGGAGCGCTTCTTTCCCCAAATATTCAGACCCCCAAAAAATTTTGGGGGGGCGCTAGGGGGGGTGGAAGTCAAAACCTGTGAACCTCGATATCTTTCGAACGAAACAAGATATTGAGGCCCGGTTTGGACGAAAAATCGTCAAAAGATGCATACTTTAAGATTCTCAAGTTCAAAATCCCTAAATTAAATTTTTAACTTAACTTATGTGCTTTTTTCAGTTTTTGAGGAAAAACAATTTCTTTTAAACACACTAAACTGAAAGAGCACAATTTTGTATTTGAACTAAAACCAGTTTTTCAAATTGCTCGTCTTTTTCCGCATCCAACGAGTGGTCGTATAAGCTGGGGAACCGAACGGTTCCGGAGTTATGATCGATTGAAGTTTCCGCTCAACGCGTGCCGACCGATTTTCGCGCGCCAAAAAGTCGGATTTGACTGTTATTAAATCAGATTGAATGTTTAAACTGAGCAAAATGCATTATTAGGGACTCTTGAGGGTCGCTGAGTTCAGAAATTACAGAGGCCCACTGAGCGCCGACCGGCCGCTCAGTGGTCCTATACGGAGCTGTAATTTTAAAAACGCGAATTTTTTGGAAGTATCTGTAATTTCTATCTGTTTCGTTCGAAAGATATCGAGGTCACAGGTTTTGACTTCCAACCCCCCTAGCGCCCCCCCAAAAGTTTTTGGGGGTCTGAAAATTTGGGGAAAGAAGCGCTCCAGTAGGTAACTGATAGACGAAGTTTGAATAAGTTTTAGTGGGGGGGCGGAAAATGCCGTTTTTGCATACGGCTCTTTAAGTACCTGTTTTAGCATTATGCTGCATTAGATAATCATCTCCTCTCATGAGTAATTTCTTTTTTCCTCCAGGATTTCCAGTTCAAACTCCATTCAAGGCTACGTGTCTTTGTTGGCTCTCCAGATTCTGGTCTGTTTCAGCATAACGTTAATATTCTTTGTGCTTCTAGTAGGTATGGGCTAGTATTCGCTGGACATCCCACTGGGTTCAGAGGTATGATTACTTGTATCAGATCTTTTTCATTCCCTAATCAAACGTATCGATACTATCAACCTACAATACTATATCAATGGGTCTGTTGCACCCAATTTCTTTAATCCATTTTCTAGAAGTGTACATTGTTCTGAGCACAATGCATTTGTCCATAACTTTTGGACCCCCCGAACACCCCAAAAAACTTCCCAAAAGATAAAGAATTTTTGGCAAATTTTAAGAAGAATGGCGGAAGATTTTTAGCCAATGTGTGACGTTACAACTTGTTCTCTGCGTATGATCATTTTACAAATACATGAATTTCCTAAAGAGAAAACAAGAGTCCAGACGTGAATTGTCGACAGTGCCTCCCTCCCCCCCCTACTTTTAAACAAGTCTATTTGGCTGATTCACCTGGTGCCCACTTTCTGGAGCTCTCACGGAAAATGACTCGGGGCTTATTTTCCTTGAAAATATCTCTGAAACAAGGAAAAACTTATGGGAAGGATTCGATAGATTTTTCTGAAGAGATTGATGTGTAATTCATGACAGTTCATCCTCAAGCACACTGAACAGTTCGACCTGGAAATCTTTTTTTCACCTTGAAATGCAACACCCTCCGATTGTTTACCGACACCAGGGCAGCTGATAACAACCACCAGCACTTCTCGATCTGAAATGTGATAATTTTTTAATTTAAATTCATTTTCTGTGACTTAGGTTGATTTTTTGTCTTTCAATCAGTATCGTCCTAATACCTTTCATTTCAGTTTCTAAAGTTTATTGCGTTTCTTCATTGTTTCGTGCCCTCCTCATGTTTGAAGCTGAAGCCTAGTAGCTTGTCGGTTTGATCTGCTTTTTTTTCTCATAGACGATTTTAATGTGCCTCACCCTCAAGTCTCAGCTTTAGCAGTGTTACTTTCCATAAGCAGGCAGACAATTTATTATTGTCTGCCTGAAATAGTGGTTTATACCCTCTCTCCATAAAAATCTCCAAATTAAGTCCTCGCTCCAAGTTTGAGACCATTCCTCAGTTTTATCCTTGGTGCCGCAGTGTCATCAGAAGTGCGCAATGTCTGAAGGAACAGTTCATGGTACCACTGTTGTCAAGTTTGTAGACTTTGTCCGGAGGTGGCTACCGCCACCCATGATTTGGAATTTTTCAATTGAGAATGAACTGTTTACACCCAACCATGTACCTACACCAATTAAGCTTGACAGTTATTAGTGTAAGCTCAACTTCATGAGGTAAGAGTGAATATGGCACCGTTGAATATGAAAATAAGTTTCATAAGTTCAAATAAGTCTGCCCTGAAGATAATTTGAATGCTATTTTGAAGCACTGGTTTCATTTGCCCGAGGAGGCGCCTTCCAAATTCACTGCCAATGTGCCCATGGAGTCCCTATCTTTTTCTCACAAGGGTATCTGAACATTGAATAAGTTGTGGATAACTTCCTCAAAGCTAAATCAACTTTTGATAGCCCTTTCTGTGACTTTCGTTGATTTTTTGTCTTTCAATCAGTATCGTCTGATACCTTTTCGTTTCAGTTTCTAAAGTTTATCGCGTTTCCTCATTGTTCCATGCCCTCCTCATGGTTGAAGCTGAAGCCAAGTATCTTGTCAGTTTGATCTGCTTTTGATCCTCATAGACGCTTTTATTGTGCCTCACCCTCAAGTCTCAGCTTTTGCACTGTTACTTTTCCCACATAAACACTAACTTTGTTGATAATTAAAGCTTGTATTTCAGTTCTGTGGCAGGATTTGTTTTCTGAAAGCAGCATCTTGTGGCTGCAGCGTACAGATTGAAATCATGCTTGTTTTCCTCAAACAACTTGTGTTCTAAATTTATCATTGAGGTGTCAAATGGTGTGTATTACTGAAACCTAAAGCCTAGCGTAGTAGCATTGAGCACCCAACTCAGTGTGAGGGGTCCTTTGTTGCGGTCAAAGCTTCTTAATGATGGCAGTTTCTCATAGGAAGAGTTTTTGATGGATCAGGAAAAATGAACTGATGACTTAAACTGATGAAGTACTCTAGGTCATGCTCTAATGATTGTTTTAGGGCTATTGGCGTAGCTAGGTCATTTTGCTGGGGGGGCCTGGCCTCTCACTACCGGGGGTCTGGAGGGTATGGAATACCCCCCAGCCCAGGGGGGGGGGCGGGAGGCCTCCCCCGGAAAATTTTTGAAATTTTAACTCTATTTGAGCGCATCTCGGGGCACTTGTGGCGCTAATCTTCCTTCAATTTCTGCCTAAAAATCACCCAGTTTTGTGCATTTTAAGGTTAAAATACTTTGAAATTGTTGTATTCAAAAGGTTTTTTTATTTATGGGCATCCTCTCACGGGCCAAGGCGACAGAGACTTACCGTTTAAGATGGTGTTTTGGCACCATCCAGAATTTCTGGGGGGGGGGGGGAG